TGGTTCGGTTCCTCATTCTCCATGGCTGGGAGCTGAGGGTTCCTGGTTGAGTTTGGCAAGTTTGCTTGAAACACATTTCGTAATCGAAAATTCGGTTTCTGTTCCTCGATGTGGGACACAGTGTAGTGTGGACTGATTCGGACCCTGTCCTAAGCCGCCCACTTCAACAAAAATCAGTGACCAGGAACGGAAACCTTGGCTGATTTTTCCCTTCCTACGTGCAGAGTCACTGAGACCAATTTGGCGGGTGCGGGGGTTGAGGTGCAAACTATATGCATTGAAAAGCACTCAAAAGTGTCTGTCCTGGGCTGGGCGGGTAGCAGATATTCCTTCTCCTGCAAGTTGTGACGCAATGCACCAGGCACAGAGTGGTACCGCCCATTATGCACCTCTCCTCCCTTCTGTATTCCCTGCTTGCTTCCCATACAAACATCCACAGCATTTACTGTAAACTCATTTCAACATAATAACTTCACAATACTGCTTTGGTCAAAACAGAGAGAAATGTTCACACACTGTAAACAAGTCACACATCTCAGCTGAGGCACAGAGTCTGAAGCAAAATATTACAGCACTTCATTGGAGTATCAACCTGGACCGTGAGTTCAAAGAGAAAGAAAGGGAGAGAAAAATCAGTTAATATTTTCTTGATTTAAAAAGTTTACGATGAACTGATGGAAGCTGTTGCATATTCTTTCTCTTTAAATTTGCAGACATTGTGACTGAAATTTTTCAGACTTCTCTACCCAGAGTGAGAAACATTTAACCTATTGAAGCTGCTTGGAGTAGACTGTCGTGAAAATCTGAAACAGCTACAGGCCACGATGTCCTTTCATTTGCCTACATCTTGTGGAAATAGGAATCACCAAAGGAGGCCCGAAACTCTGTTCAGTCTAAACCAGTAAGACCATTTTATCTTAAAATTTAAGATTGTGCAGAATTGTTAAAAATTCTTAAATTGAGTCTGAATTTTGATATTGTTCGATACAGTCCACAAAGTCAATCAGTAACAAATTTAATCCTCCAGTTTTTTGTTAAACCTCTGGGACGCATATGTAATCCGAATGATAAGCAAATCACATGCTCACAGGCGATCTCTGAGCCCTGTGGCAATTCACAGATATATGGCCATGTGATATGTTTCTTTGTTCTTTGCACCAGAATCGCTTACATTTGTTGCTAGCAACCTGAGAGTGAAGGATCTATTTGCAGTTACGCTGCGTAAAATGTTGTGGACTTCTCTGATTGCCTTTCACATGGACAGAAAAATGCGAATATGACATATTTATATAAATTTTCACTGAATTCATCAGATTTTTTTGGCCTAACATTTTATCCCTCTCCCCCACCACCCCATTTTTCTGATGTAAAGAATAGTCCCAAATAATGCTCAGATTTTTAATTGTTAAATAAAAATGATTTGAATGGCCTATGCCTATTGGTGGTAGGTGGGTTAAGGTGCAATCATCGATGACCAGCTTGAGAGGCAACTGCTTAAGGTGCATCCCTGACCTGAGGTTCCTGTGAAAAGGAGATTTGCAACACTCGGCACTTTGCAGTCAGTTTTGCATGATGACTGATTGTCAACCCTGCCTGTGCCATGCCAGCAGCACTGGCTCTGTCTGGATGAAGTAGGAGCCTGAGGCAGCGCTGGACAGTTTGAGCAGGAGATTGTGTGCTGCGGATGAATCAAGGGCATTAAGGACAGAGACCAGAGCACACATCGCTGGAGGAAGTGATGGAGAAATCTCAAGGGACAGAAGAGCAGGGAGGGGGAGAAAACCATGGCTTTAGTGAGCAAATCCTGCTTTTGAGATAGGGATTTGAAAAGGCGATGGACCAATGGTTTCTGTAACACAGAGCTGTTATCTGGGCAATTAAGTCCCTCTGGTGCAGTAGCTTACGTCAGGCAATTGCAGGGGAACATACCTTAACGCTTTCGTTACTGCACTGTGATCATATCCGTCTAGTTAAGAACCAGAACAATTAGGACTATTCCTTCTGCTATACGTCTTACTGTCTCAAGCCGAGTGATAACCTGATAACCTTTAACAGACCTTTGTGGACAATTCATCTTAAGCATGGTGCTGGATTTCCATGTGTGTCAGACACTAGATTGAGCAAAAAAAAAACCCTGATGCAATAAACTATTTTTAAATCTCCCTGCTTTACCCAAATTTTTTTTTTTTTTCTCTTTCCGTTTGTCGGTCTGGCTGAGTTGGATTAGAAGATTGCGGGTTTGACAGCAACGTGGTGATAGGGTGCAGTGCTTGTTCCCTCTCTGAGATATTACAGCATCCAACAAAGCCCAATGCTCCCTCTCGTGAGCTATCTGGAAACTGCAGGCTTTTCGGACCTGTGGTTAAAATAATAATCAATATAATCCTTGCATTTGATATAGTGCTTTTCATGTTTTCTAGATGTCTCAAAGCCCAACATTTGACCCACCCTTACAAAGAGGAAGCGGATACTGGAATGCGGAGCTTGCTCGCACTTGGTCACTAAGCTCAGGCCGGGTTTGCCCAGCCAGAGAAGTGATCTGGTCGCCTGACTTGGCAACCGGCTGAGTTGGGATTTCCCTCCTCTGTCAATTAGGCTGCCCACGTTGAGTGTCTGAGTTCACAATGGCCAAGATACTGCAGGGCGGCTGACACCCCCAGCAGGCTGTGGGTGTTTAGACCCTGTCAGGGTAATTCTAACTCCTGGTGTCTGTGTGTTTATTCTGCACTGTCACCTGTCTTCACCGTGGTGATCTCCCTTCATAAAAGATCAGTTAGAATGGCTGAGGCAGTGTATAAGTATTCCCATACCTGGCAACACTGTCTTGAGTAAGAGTTTTGGGGTACATTGCATGTCAGTCAGAGTGACCTCCTCATCACATATGACATGATTTATCGAATTAGAAATGTTTTGGTTGAATTTATGCATTGTTTGGACAATAGTCTTGATTTCCTTGAATTCGCTGCAATATGGAGTCTTAGCCCCACAGTGCCTCTCTGTGCTGTTGCAAAAGCAGCTTGCCAATGTTTCTTTCCCCAAACTAAAATAAACATATTTTAATTTAGATTTATACTGCTCCTTTGTGCTAAAGCAAATGTCTTGAAGGGCTTCACAGTGTGAGATTATTTGCAATCATAGCCAGGTCTCCACTTTCCAGCAGAGGTCAATTATTCGCAACGAGGAGCAGGAGTCCTGGCTGAATTTCCCTCTCCTTAGCTCAGGAACTCTGGGAAAATATGATCCAGTTTTAAATCTAGTTCTTCTGAATCTTTAAAGTGCATTGGGTTATTTATTTTAAAACCTGGCTTTTATAAGTAGCTTTAGTGATTGAGACTGAATGAAAGACTATGAGCAGCTGCCTCTCTGACACAGCAATGAGCCTCAGGCAGTCAGCAATTATTTATGGATCTCTACCAGATACAGGCCTGCAATTCTCAAAGCGACTGCATCACACAGGACCCGCAAATACTGATCAATAAAGCGGAATGGATTACTAACTGAACATCTGCTCGTTCGTATCCTTTCGCAAGACACCCCAACTACAATCTGATACCCAGACTTTCAGAGTAATTTGTTCCATTTATATTATTGAGACTGATGCATGTCCTCCTCAGAGGACAAACCCTCCATCCTGTTCATTCTTCCAACAGTTGTCTTTTTCATGACCATCGACTGGAGAATATTACCCTCTGCAGGATAAAAGTGAAATTGCACTCAAGATTCGTTCTCATTTCCTCCAAGAGGCCTGAAATCTTACCCAGTCCCTGCCTGTGGGACCATTATGTTTTGGATTTTTACTCCAACCAAATCTCAAGATTCTGAATGCTTCCCACATATGAGGAGGGTTCTTTCACAACTAGTTTAAGACTTACGGTTTCTATTCGTGCTTAATTTCTGGTCTCTCTTGCCTATTATAAATTGCAACCTTATCCTATTAATAAGGACTCTGATCTATTTTGATAGAGTATCATGGAATCTTTAACATCCATCTGAACAGAACAGGCAATGACAACCAAGTTTAACATCTTATTCAAAAGAGAGTCCTCAATGGCAATACCCTGTTCCCCAGTACTGCACTGGAGTGTCAGCCAAGACTGTTTTCTTGATGCTATTTGTCATTGTTCCTTTGAATTTTCCATTCAAGCACCGAATACTTGGTCAAATGGCCTAATTTTATTCCCGTCGAGCTATTTTATTAGATGATGCTCCTCCTATCCCATTTCCCCAACTTTTTCTATACACATTAATACGCTTACATCCCCATTATCTATTGCCTTTTAAAAATCATTTCTGTATTTTATGATGTTCCACATTCTCATAATCCTGATAATGTTTGCTTGGTTCACTTTGTCTCAGCTCTAATTTTAAAATTGTGTCCCACATACTCTTCTCCTCCCCACTCACAGTGTTGGAAATCAACAACAACAAAATGACATTTGTAAAGCGCTTTTCACGTCGGGAGGACATCCCAAGGCGCTGGGTTCCTCGCATCACCTCCTACTCAACACATTCGTTCTTAGTTTCTCAAAATTGTGAAACTCCACATCTCTCCGTCTTCACGTCCTTCTAAAATCTAAAGACTTAAATCCAAGCTTGGCATCACCAAACCAGCACTTGCTTTGTCTCACCTCTTTCTATACAAATGTCATTTTGTTGTTGGTGTTGTTTCTCTGGTGTTTATACAGTTCCACTTTGAATGAATGTATTGATCCAGCCTCAATTGCCACTTATAATTATATTCTAACAACAACATTTCATTTATAGAGCGCTTTTCACGTCGAGAGGACGTCCCAAGGCGCTGGTGATCCCTAACAGATCCCTCAGTGAAGGAATTCCTTCTAACCCCGATTCTTTTAATGATAATCCTTGAATGATTTGCGACAGTAACCGCATAAGTCACTTTTTGAGAGAAGCAAGTCATACTGTAAAAGATGAAGGACAGGTTACATGGGATAATAATTTCAGTAAATTAGAAGACATGAAATCAGACCACAGCTATGTTTTTTTAATTAGCCATTTATTTATTTTTAAACAAGTTCTGAATTGCGCGCACTTTATTGCACTTTTAACAAGGTTATCAAACAGGTTTATTCATTTGCTTTATAGATATGAAACTGTATCTAACATACTTAAGTAGACTGTGGCCATTTGAGGCATCTGTCCATTTGTTCTAGTGCCTGAAATGCTCACTGGGTGGGTAGGTTAACAAAGTTGATCTGAGGAACACAACTAGAGTGGAGCAATAAGTCTGAGCATTAAATTGTTGCGCAAGATACAATCTAATACAGCAAGGTCACAAATATTTTATGATTTACTAAAACAATCTAATTTACGTAATGACTACTGAAAAACAACTTTTAACTTGGTAGCCAAGTGCAGCATGTGGCAGCCAAAAGTGGAGTTGCATTGAATCAAAGCCGCTCATGCTCTATTTATACACTCATTTGTGGATAGGAGAAATTCCAATTTCTGTCATGTTTTGTTAACCGACTACTTCTCCCAGACTTGCAGAGTACATGAAACTAGACCCACCCAGCTCCCCACCCACCACCCACCCACCAGAGTGTGGCACACACAGATAACAGCTGCTTTTGGATGCCTTTAGCCACTTAGCTACCTTGGGTGCAATAATATTTAAGATCAGATAATTGCACAGAGTTTGGACAGCTATGTTACCCGACTATACACTCAGATGGCAGACAATTTGGTTACTAAACTATTACCTTCTACTATCAATATAAACCAAGTAGGTCACTTAAACAAGAAAAATATGGCCTGAAATCCACAGAATTGCATCACAGAAAACTGAAATTATAACACTAACTGGTGAAGTGAAGAGCGCAGGTGTGGTGCACCAATTAAAAATGGAACATTCCAATAATACAAAGAAAAATCAAATCTGTTTCATATCTAACAAACCACACCTTTTAACCCCTAGTGAAGTCATGATATGGTAGCTCAATCACATAATCACTAAAGACTACTAAAGTTTCAATCTTTCACAAATACTAGAAGACAAAAATATCCAATGGTCTTAAATACTGCTCTGTTTCTACACAACATGTAATTAGCAAGTCCACACAAGACGAAAGGACTTTTGTACCAGCAAGATTACGCTCACAATAAATGGTGGTTTTGTACCTGAACACTTCAAATACACAAGGATCAATGATATTCGTGGAATCAATGATATGCTGTAGATATTAACAACATGGCTTGATAGCAAAACAATTTGATCAGCAGTCAATGCTCCAGCACTGTAACTGTTGTAAGATTCTGTTCCTGGGTTTGATGGCAGAGAGCCATTTGTAAATAATAATCCTTTCATTTAAATAGACTGTAATTGTCCCATCACCAATGCACAGTCACATAGGCTTATTTTTGACAGGAAGGTTTTGAAACAGTTTGTCAAAAAAAAATTGCACTCTTTTGTATATAATATATAAAACAAAGTTACTTGCAAAGGCAGACACTAGCTCCGTTTCCCTGGAGTTTCCTCTAAAAATCCAGAGGAAGCTCCAGGGCATCTTGGAATCATCTTAATTAATAAAACCCTGAGCAAAAAAAAACCCTGTCACTCTTTAACCCTGAAATTAGCTAAAACTTCAGACTACCCTTTATTGAATGGATTGTGCAAAAAAATATAGTTTACAAATCAATGTTGTGCACCAATAGGCCTTGCAATGGCAGTTTTAGACCGAAGATCTCTGGATTACTCTGTGCCTAATCGTGCTTGGAATTAGGTAAGCAGGATGAGTCTCTCCAGGGAGAGTGCACATTCCATTATAGACGAGGAAATTTCTATGTTTAAGTGTAATCCATACGTGGAACTCTCTCTGGTTTGAATACTCAATGTATCAGACACCCAACTGACCAAACACAAATTCACAATAATTCAACAGTAAACAGCTGTCCAAATATCACTTCAATCAGAGGAACTGGAAACATAGTAAACTGATACAATTCAGGTCTCAGAATTATTTTGAGAATGGGAGAATTGTATCCTTGAATTGCAATGAAAAAATAAAACTATTCTCATGCCTTAATGTATGTATAAAAGCCTGCAACACCCACAGGTCTTTAAGTTGTCAACTCATTTGTGCCATGTACATTTTGCAGAAAATACAGTTGTGAACTTAAATTAACATTTAGCATATTTTGGTATTTTTAAATAATAAGATTCTAAGTAAGGAAATGCTGCTGCATCAATATTTTGTAAACAACCCATTGGCTACTTGTCCCAGAATTTCATCAGTGACCTGAATGATATTTACTCCAATACTGTAATGGCTTTGTGAACCCCCGATATTTCTACAAAACTATGAAAGATATACCTTTTCTGAATGTTGAAGATGCCTCACTCTGAAAAGGGTTAAGTGAGCTGGTAGAGGGAAATGAATGATGCATTGAGTGAACATAATACCTTATAAAACACGCACTGAGGTATGCCTTACAAATCAAACTGGAACATTGCCAAGCTATTACTGAGATAACACCTTTCATTTTCTCTCTTCCCACCTGGATGGGATATGTTTAACTACCTGGCCTTCTTCACAAAGCCCAGATATAAAACAGTGAGTTTTACAGAAGATATACTGTAGAGGCTTATTTTGTTAAAGATGCATTCAATTTGAACAAAGCAATACTAAAAATGAAAGGTACAATGCATCATGTGGGAGGGATAATAAAGGCAATTCCACTCTCCTAATGCGGGAAGCCTAGTGCACCTGCTCAAAACATTATCATTGGAATTAAAATGTCTCCAAGATCATTACCCTCAAAAGTTGTGATTTTGTGCCTACAATTATGGAGTTATTTTAAAAAAACTAATTAACAAAAAGATCAAAGCTGTAAATTGCCTTTCTAGGAATTAAAGTAACAAAGTAAGATACCCTACCTGCTTCCTATAAATAAAGTGGAGCCGATTTCAAAAAATGGTCAGCTCTGAAGTAATTAGAATTGCCTTATTTGACAAATATTGAAAATAAAGGCCATGGTGGTGGAAGCTGAGGATGGACTTTTGACCAAACACTCTTGACAGAGGACATTTGATATTTACTCAGTAAATTTGCTTAACTCTGTGCTGAGGTCAGAAATCAACTGGGTTTTGCAGAAAGTCACAGGGGAATATGGGGAATTAGGTGGTTCCAGAATGTAGTGTGTACATGTCGTGAGAAACATTTAAGAGTGCATTTAGTTACTTTGGTGATTTTCATCTTATAGATTTGTTGATCACTTGGTGCTGAACTTTGTGATAACCATCTCCTTTTTAACTAGCTAAAACTAAATGGAAATGTGTTTTGGGAGGCTCCTTTCCCGAGATTGGGATTTGAATCATCAGGGGTGTGATTTTGAGGCTTGTGTAAATAAAAATGCTGTTTATTAGTACAAGCCTTCAACACTTGCTTTAGTCTTTTCAGTCCAACTCAAGGGCAATCATTTGATCTTTGCTGCTCTTGTTGGATGAATGTTTCTAAGGCCATGGAGTGCTACAACCGCAGAAGATCCTTTGATTGTAATTCTGATCTAGCTACATTACTATTTAAGAGAGCAGTACAATAACACGGTCAAAATATTCAGACTCAAGTGTGAAGGTACTCTCCTCTATATTTGTCCAACCTCTTCCACTAAAACTCTTAATCACCAAAGACTGCACAAAAGAAACCAGTGTCATGAAATTTGCTGCCTCTAATCTCTCTGCACCCACATTCAATTTAAAAATATGCTCAATGGCTAAATAGCTCAGGATCCCCCCCACTCTCCCCTCAATATTCAGAAATATGATCACAGTCAATAGGAAGGTTCCCCTCCGCATTTCTCAACCGTAAATTTTAAGCAATTCAGGATAGTGACTGAGCAAATATATTCAAGACTATTAACATCTCGTGAAAGTGAAAGCAGAAGTATGGAGTACAGTGTCCTTTGGGCATTTTTACCACAGTTTACCAATTGTATCTTTATTTTGTTTGCTTTCGAGCCCTCACAAAATAAAGCATTACAGCCACTTCCACAGCAGTGCTGGAATGTAGGCTGCACAGCACCTGGCTCTGAATTCCCAGCAATGACGGAGTATGGATCTGATTGAACCCGTCATCGAACTGGATACTGAAATCATACAAAAGACGCAAAGTAAGCTTGAAATTAAGTCCAAAGATTCCACACTGCCTGCACTTTGAAAGAACCAGTTTACATTTCTGCTCAGATGCTTTGTACTACAGGCTATGTTGTCTTTCATTTTTAAAGCAGTTTCCTTCCATCAGCCACGTAAACAATGTTGATTCTTTGGAGCTCAGACTAATCAACTTGGAAATGAAAGAAATTGATTTTTTTAAAAAAAAAACAAGCAGTGCATCTTCTATACAGTTTATACTTATCATGGATTCACTCACAATGAAAAAAAAGTGTCATCGGTGACATAAACCTAGAACGTTAACAAAGTAAACTTTAAGTGCAGTCTGCTTCTGAGTTAACCCGTAGGGACCTCTCCCCCATGCACAGCAAAAAGGTACAATCTGGTGGTCCAATAACTTAGTTTGAAATGGATACATTTAAAAAAAAGATCGTCAGGTTATACGATTCCAGATTAAGCATAAAACAGTGAAATTCAATCCCCAAAGTCCCTTGATTTAATGCTTTGACCGCGAACACGTTGTTTTCAGTTGTACGTTGTCTCGATCACATCCATAGCGAGTGTCAGTATTATTATGTGTCCATCATGCACAAAGTAGCTCCCTTGCAAGTAGTTCAAAAACACAAGTGCTTTACTTCTTTACGACACATAGGGTCTAAGATTGCACTTACAGTGGGAAGTGATATTTCTTGCCTCATTTGAATGAATTCCCTCAAAATGATGTTACTTTGTCACTTTCCTGCCATATTTGAACAAAGGAAACATGGGATTAAGCTTTGGGGGGGGTGGGGGGGAGGCTTTGCAGACCACCTACTCCTGGTATGCGCTAGGTATTGTAAACATAAGAGTAATCTCTTACACCACTGCTTCAAAACAAAGTGGAAAGTCTACCCCACCCCTTTTGAGATATGACAAGTACATTACCACAAAAAAATCCATAAATAATTTAATATTTTAGACTTGGTTGATCAAGATATTTTGTGCTGTAACCAAATCTCTCCATTGTTGTCACAGAAAGAATAGACACATTCAGAATGCAAAGAAAAGCATTCCAAGGCCCAAAACCAAGGTCTTAGCCTTAAAATGTGAGATTCTCCAAAATGTTGGAGAATTCCTCAATTCAGTTTTATTTTGGAAGCTGTTTATCTGCAGTTCTTTTTGAGTTAACAGTCTTAAGGTTAAGACAATGAGAAATATTGAGAGTTTGATGTCTTCTGAAGATGACTTGTCACCCCCAAATTGCGTACATCATTTAACTCTCACTCATTCTCAATACCCGTCTTAACAGGCTACTTTTGCTTTGAGGGCAGTTCAGGTCAAGTGCTTCAATATCTCACTAAATTGCGCTCCATGATCAACCAGCCAGCTAACAAAATCCAGATTGTGCTTGTAACTGGTCAAGAAACAATGTCCAGATAGTCCTCCCCACTGCTCCCCACTATACATCAAGTTCCCACAGCTATGGGAAGACATTAACAAACCCAATACACTGTTAAACAACCATGCTATTTGCACCCATGATCACTTACCTAAGAACAGGGATGACAAAACATAATTAATATTGTACAATATATTAACCCAGAACAATGCATTAATTTCTTTCTCTCACTGCTGTGATAATAAAAATACTTAAAAGCTCAATTCTGTTAGCTTTTGCCATCGGCAGTCTAGCTCCCAGTAATATAATACGGGGATCTTTGTGATAATTGGTTATGTTGTGACATCCATATTGATAGCTAGGGCTCTGTCTTTTAGAACAAAGGAGTGCATACAGGATCCATTACAATTGGTTATATGACCTGTGCATCTGGAAACTGAGCATACTCATGGCACATTCTTGTCAGATCCAGTTGTCACCTCCTCCTCCCAACCCCAGCATAATAGTAATGCAACAAAATCCAGATTGACAGGAATCCAAATAATGGCATACACCTCCAGATCGTGATCCAACCCGGGAAGGGAGGGAGCAGTTACTTGACTGTGACTTAACGGAAAGTAGCCCAAGTCTTTTGTCAATTATATGTGGTTTCCTGGAAACCCCACACTTCCAGAACAGCTATCTTGAATGTTTCCGAACACAAAGGAAGGTTGTCAAAGGTGCTGCAACGTGCCGTCCTGCCATGGTTCAGGTCTCCATCAATATACAATGCGTGGCCACCGCCTCCACCTGGCAGAAAGAGAGCAGCATTGTTAAGCTGGCAATATGCTCCAAAATCTGCACCTGCAAATAGTCTTGCCACTCCACCACATGCTCCTTGGCACACAAACACTCAAAAATACCTGAAAACATCTGTAAAAGCAAAATATAGAGCAGCAGGACTTGAAGGTCTTTGCTCACCAATTATAATAGATTCGTGATTCCCAGCCATGAACATCGAAGCACTCTTAGACGACAAGTTGAAGTGGCGTGTGGCGAGGAAGGGTGATAATCTGTCTGAAGGATCTTCGGATGAGGTCAGGAACCCAGGCTCTTGGGTTGACTCTATGTCAGGCACTCTTGAAGAAGATTCCAGCTCTGGATGCTTAATGATAACCCACTCATATCGTTCCATTTCAGGCTGCAGCTGCACAATTAGTCAAAGGTTCACTCTTTATACATCATCTTTTGGGTCAAAAATGTTCCTAGCACCATCAGACTGGCTGCTTTACATCATATTGGTGAGATTCTATCATCATTATTCCTGCTAACATAGCAGAGAAGGTGCATAAACAGATAGAGGTGTTTAAGATACTGAAAAGACCAACAAGGTTAAGTAGGGGAAAATATTTCCTTTGGTTGGGGAAAATTGGCAAAAATAGGGGATAGGCGAGGAGACATTTCTTCTCTCAGAAAGTTGTTAGGGTTTGGAATTCCTTCTAAGTCACTGGAGAAAGGATTCTTCTCACTTGACTCTTGTTAACCCTGAAAGCCAAAGCTGTAACAGGTAGAATGGTCCAAGTTGCACAATCAATATAATTTGCATTATATAGTGCCATTCACGTCAGGAGGACAAGCAATATGGTGTTAACTGGTTAAACTCCAGCAGTACCCCAACATACAGTTCGTGGTTCGTAAATTTTGGGTCTCATCAACCAAGGCCTAATACTTTTCGGAATTATATAAGCAGGGTACATCACTCCAGGGAGATAGTGTACATTCCAATCCGGGGACATTTCACCAATGCACTCAGATCCTGCATGTGTCAGACATGTGGCTAACAAAAAGTCCAGGAATTCATCAGTACAGAACTACCCAAATACAACGCCCATCAGTAGCAACTGAGGCTGGGTCAACAGAATCATTAAGATAAATACTCAAGCAGTAAAAATATTAAGGCATATGGGGATAGAGCTGAAAATGGAATTAATACATAAAACATTTTTTAAAATCCGGTTCTAGTGCCTGACATAATGGGAAAATGATTCCCTTTTGTGAAGAAACTTTCTATGTTTCTGTGTGGGTTTGCTGTTTCATGCATTTAAACTAGTCTTCAAAGACTAGATCCATATCTGAAAAGATCACTTTGAAAACCAGGTGTGTGTATGTTTGTGTGCGGTTTAACAATCTGAAAGGGGAAAGTGAAGTTAGTTACTCATTTTATATTTTGCTCTAACTGCAGAACAGTTAATATTTATTTATATGGACAGTATTACAGTGCTATATCTGGAGATAACCTGGTAACTGCACTGCTTTTCATAAATATGTGTTGCAGTTAGAAAAATAATGTTTTTAATATGGTCAATTTCTAGATTTTAGGTATATATTTATAGGTATAGTCCCTTACATATTGCTCTCTGATAAAACAGACAGGTTTGCACTGTATGGCCATATGGTTTCACAGCCCTCTCCACTAAAAGTTATTCAGTTCATAAAACAATATAATCAATTTGAGATCTTTTCATTAATCTTCAATTACATTTCCCTTAAAGTAGTTAACAATATAACTGTGAATTGTGGGAGCACTATAATTCACTTCCATGCTGTGGACAAGCAAGGCAGGGGGTAATATTTTAGTAATATTTAATCTGTAAAGGTGTGAGATCAACAAGAATCTTGAGGATCATTCAGACCAATCCATGGCTGTAGTATGGAAATGTTAAGCACATCTGCACCTTATGTCCTACGCAATGCCTGAGGTAGCAGATGTAATTTGTATTGGATTAAGAAAAATAAATGGGTGTACAAAATGTAGTGTGCCCATTAGGAGATGATGGAGAGGAAAAGGATTTGGGTATGATTACTGCTAAATCACTGAAGGTTTTAAAGTACAGTTTCTGCAAACCCAAGTTAATCAGAAAATAAGGGTTAAGCGAGGGAACATTAGTTTAAAATCCTACTATTGATCACTATCCCCAGTAGTAACTGCATCTAGATTCTGGGTGAAGGTAGGATTAGGTTTAATTGGAATGATTCTCAATGATCAATCAGTCCGCTGGCACCCGCTGTCTAAGATTGGGTGGGTAAGTGCTAGTTGTTGTAACATTCAGTGATTTGATACACAGTAAATAGCAAAATTTGATTTACCACAAATTCCTAGTTTTTTTAAAAATAAGTAATGGGTGCTTGGGGAAACATGAGATGAAGGATACCTACCCTGAATACAAAGCATTCTCCAGTGCCAAAGTAACTCAGCTGGTTTGTACCTCGTCTGCGCTCTTTCCAGTCTGTTGATAGGTAGGTACCACACACCTGTTACATTGACAACAAGGTGTTAACCTCAACAACATTAGATCAGAGCATTCAACAAATAACACTTCCAAACTTTTAAGTCTGGGTACCCATCCCAAACTGTAATATCTCGTTATATCACATGTTTAAAGCACCTTTACACACACTGAAATCTGCAGGACTTTAGATAATATTAGGTGCTATCAAGAAAGCAGAAAGTGCTTTATTATTTTTGGGGGTAATTAAAAGGTATCATCCAGTTCACTTGCCCCATCATGTGGTTTCAAAATGTTAGCACTTAAACCCAATTTCTAATAGATTTTTTTTCTTATAAATTTAAAACAAATTTTAAACTTTTAGAAGGCCCCTCTCCCCCTGCTAGACTGTTCTCAGCACATACTGCACAAAGTAGCTTGTGGGAAAGAACGCTCAAATTAATAGAAGCATCATGAGTAACTGGGCAATTTTATCAGGGCTATTTTAGAGCCTGGATTCTGTTGCTTTCTGTCAGTTACAGTTTGGGATATTTACATTAAGTTGTAAGAGTAATCACACATCCTTAAACAAGAGTTCGGGTTATATAAACTTTCTTGATCTCTTTTCCATCTAAGTGAAAACGACAGGGTACTTCTAGAGTGATGGATAATGCAATAGGATACTGAACTTTATTTAATTTGCTGTATCCTACTCATTACCAAGAGAATTTATTTTACAATGCGTCATGTACAATTTTTTTTACATACATTAAATAAACAAAACAAATATATGAATCATATACGACAATATTATTGGAACACAGTTCCAAGGCATATATATTCTATTGTGTATTTTGTATGCCTTACACAGAAAAATAAGAAATCTCATAAAGGGAGGATTTATTTTAAGATAAAAGGGGGATGAATTTATTACGCAATTTAAAAATACATCCAATTTAAAAACCTACCTCTCTTTCAGTAGTTTTGATAAGGATGATGGTTGGTTCATTGCCCTCACAGTGAGAATAAAACCTGGGAAAGTTAGATAGAACATTTCAATTTTAAAGGAAACATTTGCACCACACTTACGTTTAACAGTGAGTTATGCAATGATGGTTAACATTCCTCATTTTGTCCTCCCAGAGTTAACATTAAGCACATTGGATATATTGTAGCAGGGATGTCTCAACTTCCTGGCCTCCAAGAAAGACTTACAAAATAGCACCACATTACGGCCAATTTTGTATTCACACCTTGTACTCAGACTAGCGAAACAGGATTCAAAGTTGATTAATTCTGCTAAACTCAGTAGGTTTATTGTAGTTAAAAGGTGTAATAGCACACTATGGAAATACTAACAGTAAGGCAGCATACATGAGGGAGAAAGGAATAGGTGGGTAAAGGAGAGGGTAATAGGAGGAGTGGGGGTTCACGTAAAGTATGAAGACCGATTTCTGTTCCATAGCATTCTATATAACTCTGTATGTAACTATTAAAGACATTTCTTCGTATATTGTAAAACTAAAAAAGGAACAGTATGAAATACTATAAAAAGGAAACTTAGTTGAGACATTGGAGGCTTGTTTTTACTGGTTTTGTCTGCTTCTTTTTAAAAAAAAGTCATTCACTTGTGTCAAGTCATTCATGGTGTTTGTGCAATTTGGCCGCTGTGTTTGCCGACAAACACAGAAACATCTAATTACACTTCACAGAAAACTGAAGTGCTTTGAGTAGTTTTGAAGTAATAAGGTGCAATAGACTTGGAAAGATTATGAATTATGTTTAAGGATGTTAAACTATGAAGGAAGAGTGTAAGTATATATGGGAAGGATATATTTAGATCTACAGAACCTCTTTTCTTTAACCAGCTATAACTTAGTGCCAAGCACCAGCAGGTGGCAGCTGTAATACAACAACCTGAAAACTGTGCTGCTTCAGAGGGACTTACTGTATTCTGTCTCTGTAAGGGACCACCAAACTCATTACTAAAATGTTTCTTAATTCAACTGAAGACATTTGATATGACAAAAATTGTTGAATGATTCTGTCCACCGGGGATAGTTTTTGAATCATACATGTTGGAATACCACATTCAACAATTTTCTATGAGTATCCTCAAACTGTACTGCGTCGTATGAACACTGCAACACATGAGAAAGAAAGTGCTATGCAGTTAAATTAGTTCGTTCAGTGGTTCGGTTGTTAAAAGGTAATGGCTTTTGTAAATCTGTAGCCTAAAGACCAGGAAGATCCCACACTCAGTCCTTCAACTGTGCAGAGTTAGAAAATCTAATCCAGGGAAGTAGTAAGAGCACAGCAATTTATTTCAGCATCAAGGGAGAAAGGAAAAAGAGCCAAGGTCCCTGCTCCTGATCACTATCCAGTGACTTTTGATAAAACGTGACCACCTTTGGACTTGACTGTGATGCTCTATTGTCAAAGAGTGTTGGCTATTTCAGTTGAGGAACTGCCACTTGAGTTAAGGTACTGACGGAACATATGGAACTCTATCCTGTGAGTCAATGGCTTGAAGAGAGGAAATTGAAGGCTGTTAAAATTACCAATTGTCATAAAACATTATTTGCACCAAACAACAGAATAAGTATATATAGGTTTACAGTTGCAAGGGTAATATCAGGACAGATACCAGGAAGTGTTTCTTTATGCAGAGGGCAATTAATGATTGGAATAGACTGCCAAGAAGGGTAGTTGAGGCCAGAATGCTGGATTCACACTCTACCTGGCCAGACTACAGCCATGCTCTGAAGTGGTGAAAAGCAATATTGGTTGACAAAGAGCAAATCGTTCTGGGATCCAGGACCAAATCTCTCTCATCTCCTTTGCGCTGACGATGTCTGATTTGAAGTTTTCCGCATCAATTGCAAGATGGACATTTTGCCTGTGAGAAATACACAAAGGGTTGTTTAGAAAACAAACCATATTAGGATTGGATCTGAATCTTCTGTTAATCTTTACAAGAAAATCTCTACAACAAGAGACTTATTACAATTTGGCTGATGACTGTGCCCTGCTTGCCCACAACTCTTTTGATAGCTTAAGTGGAATAATGCAATGGACATTCCAACAGGAACAATATATGGGCAATCCCCATTGGTACACTTGTATTGTTTTGCTTATTTGAGCCCTAAGTTTACTCATATGGTTATTTCAGACATTCTGCAAACAGCTTGGCAGTCCAAATTTAACTCCTTAGTTTGAACTTTTTTTTTTGGAATAAGGCTTCTGCAATACTGGTCATGATGCAGGTCATGTAAATGAAACGTAAGGAATAAGCCAATTCCTCAAACCTATAATCTGTATACGTCAGCAACTTGAGCAGATACTTTTTCATTCAGCCTCAAGTCCACGGTATCTACATATTTCGAGAAAAGTGTGAAGAAAGGAGGTAGTGGTTTATTGGAAAATAACTCCACTCAGATCCTCAAGCCAGGTTACCTGGTCAGTGTGTCAAGTTGATTTGATGTTTAATTCTAATTGAATTATATTTATATGACATGTTTTGTTTCAGTCTATTGAGTTTGAAAGTGCCATATTCTTGTAACCATATTACATAATTATCCTATCTTTGTATGAACGTGTTGAGACAGGTGGCTGGAGTTAGTGGAATAGCATCAGCACATAAGAAGACTGTAGAAATATCTTCTTTGGAAATGGGAAAAGGCGGAAATTACAGGCAGCAAAATGTATCAGAACCTCAGAAGAAAGTGGAACATAAAGGAGGAAGAATATGTAAGATAAAAAAGAGATATAATAATAATCCTTGCATTTGATATAGCCCCTTATCATGTCTTCAAGATGTCTCAAAGTGCTTCACAGAATATACTTTAAAGTGAATTGACTGTATATTTTGTGGGTGAAATGTGGCAGCCAAATGCGCACAAACAGTCCCACAAATAGTCGTGGATTGAGTGACCAATTTATTATTATTTTATAAGGATATGGCTGGTAGTTTATTTTTTTTTGGCGGAAGGCAGAACGAAAAAGTGGATATAAATTAAGAGAGTACTGACAAGATCATAAAAGGAATGAAAACAAACAATGTACACCAACAGCTGTTTTAGTCCCACCAGACATGAAGCCCAAGAGTCTTAGCTTTCACAAATTTAAAATAAGAGATTGATACGTAGGATATATTTATTTTAAATAAGTAAAATGCAGCTCGATATGTGGTGCTGTATTAAACGCATACAAGTTTGTTGCACTCTGGAGCCTAAAATCTTAATGCTGAGCAACCCACTTGTTTTTGGGTGAATCGGTGTTCAACTGTACAAAAGGAGGATAAGCCAGAGGTTTAACTCAACTTGCTTACCAATAGTCAAGTACTCCAAGAAAGTATAGTCATAACTTTACTTTATTTTGTGTCTTCTCTGGACCGAAAGCTGCATTACTACGTTTTAAAAATAAATACCAATTTTCTCCTTGTTATCAGGAGGAACTTTGGTGCTGGGGAATTAAACATCCTTTTACTTAAGGCACCTAATGCCAACATCGACTGCATTCATCTAGGTGTGCAGAGTGCTGTGCCCCAACAAGAAGTAAAACACATTCATAGGTTTAAGAAGGACTTTCAGCCCAAAGTCAATAATTCTGCCAATAAAATATTGAGCCATTGATACTGCAAAAGATTATACTAATAATATTATTAGTTTTCATTTTATATTGTAAGTAAACTTAATAGATTTATTCCATGTGTGTGGTAAAATCCATCTTTCAAAGAGAATTTAATAGAATGGCACATGACCAGTATGCAGGATAAATAATGCAGGGTTATTGTTAATGTTTTTGGCACCCTCTCAGCAAAGGGCTGATAACTAAAATTAGGTTTCAATTTCACAGAGAATAAGAATCTTACTGGCACGAACTGTTGCTAGGCCAAGACGACCCAACTGAAATATACAAATATTCATCAGAATATTCATCAGAATCAGAAAATCCCTTCATCAGAACCGTTCTGATGAGGGGAACATTGCTTTATTCTTATAATAATTCAAATTTTGATAAGACTTTTGTGTATTTCTTTTTATTAAGAATTTATTGTTATGTGATCAATGAGCTCAACGGGTTTAGAGTTTTATCCATAATACTTTTCATTTTAATTTAGGTGATCTTATCAGATTGTGGTTGTGACCGAGAGTAGTGCAATGAGTAAAATGCAGTAGCATGACGTGCTCTCCACACAATGGTCACGTGGGTCTAGTTCAAACACCTTGGCCCAGCAGCCATGGCATCTTACCAAGCCACAAGACGTGTGTTGGCTTTTATAGCGCTTGTTTGGGGAGGGGAGAAAGGATGGTTGAGCAAATTTGTTCAATGGTCTTGGTCACAATAATTTATTCTCATGTTGGAACTGTTGCATTGAGCCCACAGAAATGCCTCAGTTAATATTCTGAAAACAGTGTAAAATTTGTCTCTGTTAGTCTAGAGTCTTGAGTCATTGGCACTGTACAAATTTACCCGTGACAAATAGCTTGGAAAGCGTCTCTGTGACTGTGAGTTAATGGCAGCATTGTGCACTTTTTTTATTTGCCAATAATCAATGAGATGGAAATGTAACCTTTGACAAATTGCCAACACAGTGGTTGGAGCTGTAATGTATCACAATCAAATTTAAACAATAAGAGTTTGAAGGTGATGCAGAAATTCTTATGAAGAAATTTGATTACTATATTCAAAAAGAGATGTAGTTTAAGAATGCTCCATATTCTAGTAGTCCAAATCAAACAAAAATGATACAAAGAGTCGAGACTAAATTGTGTAGATTAAAAGCACTTGCATTTTTATCACATAGAAACGTCTCAAGTGCTTGACCGACCGTTAAATGCAATGACAGTGTTTGTAAGCAAACACAGCATCTATTTTGAACACAACCATGATACTAGTGCATCTGCTAGCCCCTTCTATCTACGTACACACTTATTTGTTTGTAGATTTCAAGCTGAATATCACACCATCTGTGGATTTGCATCAAGCTCAACAAGCGCTCCCACCAAACTGCAATAATCAGGCAACCTGCGGTGCACGGACAGATACAGCAGTGAGACTGTTGCACTTAGGGCTTCAGCTGATCTGCAAACCCAATTGAAATTCTTTGTGATCTTCGTCTTAAGACCACGGTTTTAAAATGTAAGATTGATCAGAGTTTGGGATTTTTTAAAAAAAACATGGAAAACTAGAATTTTGTTCAAGGTTTTGCACAATCTTAAATTTTAAGACAATGTTCGTAAGGTTACGAACGAGAATACTAATGAGAAATTTGGGGCATCATACCAGTTGATTTAGGGATGCAGCATCTTATTATCTTTTTAACATCATTGGGGAAGATTTTTTTTAATATAAAAGTGTCACTGTTAGCAAAACCACCACCAACTCCAACTGGAAGGACCCCCAAAAAGGAGTGACTAACACGTAATAAAGAACTTAAATTGGAAAGCAAGATGCTTGTTGGCCAAAATGTTGTTTCACATTTCCAATTTTGTTTCATTATTGCTGTGATACTTACTTTTAAAAAATGTGTACAAGTAAGAAACTGGTTGTGGATGTATATCAGGGTGGCTGAGGGAGGGGAGGATGCAAGTGAGCCATACTCCCAAGATAAAGCTATGGTTCAACCCACACGGATACACCGAGGTTTGTGAAAAAAATTCTTTCTGTAGCCTACCTTCTGTAAATCGGACGTGGAGGACGCAGTTAACACAGGAGCAAAGTTGGATGTCACAAAGAACACATATAGAAGAAAAAGAAAGTAGTCAGTGTAGCTCCCACATCCCAGAGAAAAAGAGCAGTTTTCTACTGAGAAAATACAAGAATGTTAGTCACGGTATTTTATAAGAACCTAGAAACAAAATCATTGGTAACAGACGGCACCTGCACAACCAAACTTCTGAAAATGTATCACCTCAAATTTATAGCCATCGTTAAACCTCTTAAATTCTGACAAGTAATGATTTTGTGTTAAATTCAACAGCATTAAAGGGACTGGTTAGTGCAGTGAGTTAGAAAATTGCCTTTTATCTTTGGAATGCAGTCCGAGTTTCGAATCCCAGCCTGAGGGGATGAAGGACTTTGCCTGCCTGCTGTTGGCTGGATGGCTTTTATAAGAATTAGTCAAAACATTTTTAATTCAGTCAGTTTCCAGTAAGTTTAATCCATAATAGAAAACTACTCACAAATGAGCACTAATTCCCAGTTTATTACTCTGAAAGGAAGGAGGACTAGTACAGAAGTGGGTGCTCCACACATAAATAATAATAATCCTTATATTTGGTATTACACCTTTCATATTGGAAATACATCCCAAAGCATTTCACAGATATACTGTAAAGTGGAATGAGTGTTTTGTAGGTGAATGTGGCAGCCAATTTTCACAATGCAATATCCCACGAACAGCTATGAACTGAATGACCAATTTTATTTGGGGGATTGTTAGCCAGGACATTGGTAGAAACTCCCTTCTCTTTTTGAATAATGGCAAGGGATCTTTAAACATACACCGAACAGGCAGATGGGGCCTCAGTTTAACGTCTCATTCAAAGGACTGATAGAAGGATTAAGGCACCTTTTTTTACTCTTCAGATTGCTTTGTCTTCGGAGTGCTCAATTCTGTACAAACTGAATATGTGTACTGCTCCCCAGCAGACATTACCAAAAGAACAATCATTAAAAAAGGCATTCAAGCAGCTTTATAATCTTATTTAATTTGACAGTTTTTCAAGGAAACAACCCTGTCAAGTCAAGTGCATGTTCCTTGGTCCCTGTTGGTCAGGTTATCTCTCTTACCCCACTCCTAATGTTAGGGTCTTAGTCCAGTCTCTCCTAGTCCTTCTCCCAATTTCAGTGCCAGATTGATTTCCCCATTTTGATCCATGATTTCAAACGTGTTTCCTCTCCCCACCGTTTGCCATCTGTTCAGTTTTGGATGAACAGTTCAGTAATTTCTTAAAGGCAAACTAGAAATCACAATTTCATAATAGAAGTGGATTTGTTCACTCATCAATACCCGTTTGTTTTTAAGGCTGTGTCTACAGGCATTTGAAGTCTTAAAGCAGGAAAGACTGGAACTAATCTTAGTCCGCTTATGTCTTTTTAATGTCTCAAAACATATCTCTTTGCCCGAGCCCACCCTCTTGGCTGCCACCCCCAGCTCAAGTGCCCATCCAGCACTGTGAAACACTTTGAGACTTCGCTGTGATATGAAAGGTGCTGTATAAATGTAAATTGGATTGTACTGTAAGAATATGTACAGAGCTGCTCAGCATGAACTGGAATTGGTAACTCCTAGCGAATTAGCTGCACACAGAACCAGTGTTAGTGGAAACTAAGAGAAACATATCTATGATGATTAGCAGACACGTGCGCGCGCACACACACACACACACCACGCACGCACACACAGGGTTACTAGTCAATCATTCAAACACAAAGTACATCAACATATTCATAGTCCGATGCTCCTTTTTTTAAATAGGAGTCTCATCCCATACTGAAACCCATTGAACCATGGACACTTAACATAAACAGAAGTCAAGAGTGCCATTGGGTAGAAAGTCACCTCAGAATAAAAAAGCAATTCACAATCCTGATAACTCCAGGGAGAGAAGGGAAAATAAAGTAGAAAACAATCAGGATGGCAAACTCCAGTGGAGATCACTTGGTGGACGCTTTACTTGTGAATGAAACTACAACTTCTGGATCAAGCAAAGGCATTGAGGCATTGGAAATTGAAATAAATCAGAATGGACCATTTTCCAAAATAAAAAGGAAAGCTGATGTTTACAGACAACATCAAGGAAAATACAGTATTTATTCACATTTACAGGGCATACCCCATTATAAATATTAGGTTATCAGGATTCCAAGTACAGTATTGCATTAAATAGCTGAGATATTAGTCTGAGATTCCCCCTCCCGATGCAAGTACACTGGGAGAAAATTGTCTGAAAGGTGTTGAGATAATACAACATTTACAAAGAACTGAATTAGAAAAATATGATAAAATATTCTAGTGCCACAATAAGCCAGGGAAAATACCTCTTTTGTTTTACTGTGATGCCTTTCTGCTGAAGGGCTTTTTCATTGGCACCTTGGAGTAGGCGAATCTCTTTCCTGGAGAGCAGGCGGATAGAAAACGCTTTCTCCAGTAGTTTCTCGACTGGGATGTGTGTAGCAATGCTCTGAACGAAACTCCGGATATCAGCTTGAACATTATGGGATAGCTCTGGCTGCCCCATTCTGATTTTCCTGAAGAACTTGAGAATAGCCAGTGCCACTCTGTAGAGCACTTTATATCCTTCAACAAAAAAGATATCCAAGACACGAGCAGCATATTCAAATGGCAAGTCCCCAAAAATCCATTGCAGCCAATCAGAATAAACTTCCAGGACATCCCCGGAAATGCTCACTATTAGTTTGTGAGCACCTTGGCAGTATTTGTTAGCAAGATCTCCGAATGTCATGCAGGAAGATTCGTAAGCCAGAAAGGTTTGGTCTATGAAATGTTTTGTAGGATCGTTACAGGCTAAGATCCGACATATCTTCTCAAAACAGTCGGCTTCATCCTCACTATAGTGCAGGAGCAGTGCCACGCTTGCTGGCAGCACAGGACAGAAAGAGATGTCCGGGAACTGGTTGGAAATGCATACCATAATTTTCCCAACAGCACCAATTCCATTTGAATTCAGACAATAAGTTGGGATAGGGCTGCCATCAACAAATTCTGGTAGAGACAATGTAGAAATATTCCTCTGCCCAATAAGTTTGCCAACAATATCCTTGTACACCTCTGCATCAGGGGTCACAGTTCTGCATGGAATTGATTTAATGAGCTGCTTGTAAACATTTGCTCTCAGAGAATGATTCTTTGCCCAGTAGCCCTGTCTGGCATACTGCTTCAAAACACTAAAGTCCGTGCAAGAAAACACCTTAGGGGCTTCATCACCCAGGTGAACCATCTTGTCCCAATCTACAAATTGTCCAAACTCTGGATCAGACATGTTGATAGGGACTGGGAATCCTATACTGAAACACTTTGTCTTCAAGGGCCACACATGTTTCACTGCTGTTGACGAAAAAAAAACATCAATTAGCTGGTACCTTATACACATCATAGCTTTAATTGCCATGGGAAGACATTACTGTAGCAGGAATACAGATTCAGTATTCAAATACGAGTGGACAAAATTCCTATTCAAGAGGGGAGCAGCAAACAGATACGTGCTCAACCCAAGGTTCCTATCTCCCATTTAGACTTAAAAGTCCATCCAGATATACAATGCAATCCAGTGTATAATGCAATTATTTTGTTGTAATTAGAAGCCAGGTCAGGTTGCGTTTTATATTGAAAACAATAATGGTACATCTCAGTGACAGTCAAACTGCACACAAATCTAATTTTGTAGTTCAGATTACAAATGAATTGATCTTTGTTATCATGCTTTATACAATACTGGAACAACCTTACAAAGCTGTCTTGAAAAAAAATGGAAGGGAAGAGAAACAAAAAGAACTATTCTGTTGAAAAGCTGAAACCACAAAAAATACTGTGTTAGTCTACTAATACACAATCACATCACCTCAAAATAAATCTTGTATGCTAAATACAAAAGTATTTTGGAAAAGATGGTGAATTTTTTTTAAAAAATGGTTTGCCCTACTGCATATGCTGAGAACCCACCCAGTAGCTGTTTTCTCTTTAGTTAAAGGAAACTATAATCAAAATGGTTCTCTTAGTTCTTGCACTATAGGAGAGCCTTATTAAAACACATTTGAACATGCGCACTTAGTATAGCCAGACACATGAGTTGAGGACCCAAGATGAACAAATTATGGTCTAACTTAATTGAACACGCTGTACCTGTCCCGAAAGAAAGCTATGCTGTTCTAATGTAGGTCAACCCTTCTCAGTCATATATTAAAAAAGCAAACTAATTTGCCGGGAATACGGCCTTCTGAAAGGTATACAATGGAGTGCAGACCCAGGCGGATATTATCTGCAATTTATTGGGTAACACTGTGAAATAAAAAACAAAGATGCCAAAGCATAGTACAATGTTCGCATCAAAAAATAATTTGATTGACAATCAAATGACTCCTTTGTGTTAAGCTTTTATTTGTAATTGCTAATGCATGCCGACCTCCCACTTTCAAAATATCAATCCTGGATAAACATTCTAGAGTATCTGGAAACCAACATGTGACGGGGCAGATTGTCATGGCAATCATTTGGTATATATTTACAGCACTATTATGTCACAAGGTCCTGGAACGAGTTGTTGCTTCTCAGCTTCGCTCCTTCCTCTCTCGCCACTCCCTTCACGAATCCCTCCAATCGGGTTTCCGTGCCGCCCACAGCACGGAAACAGCCCTGGTCAAAGTGACAAATGATATTCCGTCCATTTGCGACCAGGGCTCCCTCTGCCTCCTCATCCTCTTAGACCTCTCTGCTGCCTTTGACACTGTCCACCACTCTATCCTCATCCACCGCCTCTCCTCCCGCCTCAGCTTTCACAGCTCTGTCCTTGACTGGTTCAGATCGTACCTCTCACACCGCCTCCACTTCATCTCCGCAAATAGCTTCTCCTCCAGGCCCCGCACTGTCTGGTGCGCTGTTCCTCGGGGCTCTGTCCTTGGTCCCCTCCTCTTCAATATCTATATGCACCCTCTTGGTGACATCATCCACAGACATGGGGTCAACTTCCACATGTATGCGGATGACACCCAACCCTATCTCTCTGCCTCCACCCTTGACTCCACGACCACTGCTGTCCAATGTCTGTCGGACATCAAGTCCTGAATGAGAGCTAATTTTCATCAGTTGGAGTCAACAAGACCGAGGCTCTCCTGATTGTCTCCCGTCAGCGCCTCCTCACCTCAGGTGCTGACAGCATCACCATCCATGGATGCACCCTCCACCTTGCTAAGACAATCTGGAACCTTGGCGTCTTGTTTGACCCTCAATTATCCTTTCTACCCCACACTCGCATCATGACCCGCTCTGCCTTCCCTCACCTCCGCAATGTCGCCCAGCTCCGACACTGTCTCACACTGTAGGCCACTGAAACCCTCATATATGCTTTCATTACATCGAGGCTTGACTATGCAAACTCATTGCTTGTCGGCCTCCCCAACTCCTCCCTCCATAGGCTGCAGATCATTCAGAACTCTGCAGCCCGTGTCCTCTCCCTCACTAGGTTCCGCGACCATATCACTCCCATCTTTGCCCGACTCCACTGGCTTCCCATCACACAAAGCATACTGTTCAAGATCCTGGTCCTCACCTTCAAAGCCCTCCATGGTTTTGCTCCTCCTTACCTCTGCGATCTCCTAACCCCCTAGCATCCTGCTCATCCTCTCCGCTCAGTGGACTCCGGCCTGCTTCACATCCCCCGCCTTGCTCACCCCACTATTGGATGGCAGGCCTTCTGCCACTCTGCCCTAACCCTCTGGAACTCCATCCCACAGTCCCTCCGCCTCGCCCCCTCCCTTGCCACCTTCAAGACCCATCTTAAGACCCTCCTCTTCGACCGCGCTTTTGATTTCCCTGCCTCCCCCCTGCCCTCCACCCTCCCCGACCCCAGCTCGCGTACAAAACTCTGTCCAACACCTTGGTATGTTCTCCCGACCTGAAAGGGCTATACAAATGTAATTTTGTTGTTGTTTTTGTCGTCATTGAGAATTGAACTGTAAGCAGACATTATGCTTTGATACAGGGCAATCTTTGTATAACATGGTCCCCTGGATCCAATATCTCAGAGGCTGCATTGTAAGTGAAGCACGAATTACAGTTGACTTTCTGAGAGTCAGGTCACTGCTGACATTACTTCTTGCGTGCTGCACATGTGCAATATGCAGAGGAAGTGCTGCTTAATCACTTCTTTCATGAAGCAGTCAGTCACGCTGAAACCAGATAATATAATTGTGACATTTTTAATTGTAAGTCATATCAGTCTGCAACGTTACTGCAGAGACTGTCTAAATTAAGATTATCCCACTTGTAAAGTGGAAGAAACCAGAAATACTTAGGTGCTCCCAACTGATGTCCAGATAATAGTGTCAAACAAAATGGAATAAATAAATTCAAGTGACAGTCAAAGCCAAGATGATTCTGATTGCAAACTAAAAACTAGCTACATTCTTCACCCTGAATTTCCAAGCTAAGTGACATTTGTTGCGGTTGACTTTTGAGGAAATCAAATAGCCTGTTATTTGACTGATTTTCAAGTACCCGATAACTAAAACTTAAACCGCACTTTCTGGATTCAAACTGTGAATCAAGCAACACACCCGTGTCTGGACTCTCGTTTTAAACCTTAGGATTGCTCATTTTCAATATACCTTCTTGCTGCCTGGTACTCTGAAAGGCGAAATCACTCACACCTGTAGCACGAGACTAAATGAGCTGAATAACTTGAATGTAGCACTGCTCATCATATCATAATACAAATACGTTATTGCATGGTTTGGAAATTCTGACCTTATACTACAACCTGCCACACAGCTAATCTAGCTCATAAAACCAATTACAGTGCAATATGTCACTGTTAAACCACAAATGTTCATACTATACCTCCTTGAAAGGTCAGGCTGAAAAGCCAAAGAATGATTTACAAAAGGTTAAAATAGCAACACGAAACAATTGGATGCATAGAGTGCAACAATAAAATAGCAACTCAGTCATGTGTAACCAGACTTGATTAAGTGACTGAATAAGAACACTGGTTGATTAATTCCTGGTGTAGTGCCAGGCAGAACCCACAGAACAAAACCTGTACACATAGGTAGTAAATGTCTAGTTAAGGTACAGTATTGTATGATTAAATTACAAGATTGGAATTCTTCTTACAGATGAAAGCAAATTATTACACCATTAATATTCATTTGGGACATGGAATTAAAAGAACAAAGCAGAAACAACAAAAAGGCAATGCTTCACTGAAATATTTGGTAATTACAAAACACCTGGTGCGGTTTCCATGGTGGTGAACTTATATAACAGAAACAAAGAAGTTAAGATAAATCACTAGTAAGGATCATCAAAATAGCAGTAACACACAAAGATGTATAGACCGGATTCCTTGTTATGAATCAAATTGCTGGTGAATCAAAAAACCACCAGAATAAGGAAGATTATGCCACCAATAATAACATTAACATACAACAGCAGTATATAGGAATACAGCCATAGAATCCTGTTTGGTCTCATAGAAACAATGGAGCCCATGGATCTTGTCGAGGGTGAGCATAATCAGTGTGTGCGGGACAGAAATTAAGGCGCACATTTCTAGAATATTTGATCCTTCAGGAGGATGAAGCTAAGAAATTGAAATATCCTTAGCACTAGAAAAAATTATTCTTGAGGTAACAAGAGCTCTTGTTATTATTATTCACTGAAATATTTTTATATTTATATTTGACATCAAGGCTTCAATTTTAAATGAACTTTGCTTATTGAATTAGAGCATTGCACAGCAGCACTGCAGCAGTGGGGGTGCGATTAAGCTATAAACAGTAATATTCCAGATGTGGCCCAAACCATTCTTGTTATTGAATCTGATATGGTTGAAACTCATTTCAAAACTGGTGAACCACTCGTTTGTAAAACGGTTATGACCGTCAACAAAATTTAAGGCACAAATTAAATGCGTACGCTCACATCTTGACACCTTACCACATGTGTCTGTGCTGAAAGACTCATAGCAGGCAGGAATATTTAAAAATGATTAGACAGCTAAATTTTAAACTCAGCCGTACAAGAGATATTTTTGTCTAATACAGGAATGTGCCAATTGTCTATTAAAATCTCGCAATGGAAAAATAGTTTTTGTCCTCAACTTAGACAGCCAGTAAAGGCTCAGTACACTCACAGTTTTGGGTCATTAAGATTCTCTATTACATCCAACCAAACTTTTAAAGAAATGCACGTTTGTTGAACAGTGCAGTGTAGCTAAAGTTCATTTAATGTGCCTTTAAATTACATTTAAGATATTGAATCCGTACTTAAATGTGTTCTTGATCCTAAATGGCTTATAATAGGAGATGAAGAAAAGAACAAATTGAATAAGAGCACAGACTGGACATGCATAGCAGACTGTTCAGCACGTAAAAGACAAATACATGGCTTT